CCTCTACCAGATATTTTGATTTTAACAAACATGGTTAAAAACACTTTGATGATCTTGCCCACTGACTTCCATAAGGAGCACTTATAAACCTTGGAAAGTCAAAGCCAGATATGTTCCAGAGATATTCTCAAATTGATGTTCTTTAAGGAGCTGTCAGTCAATAATGGCAATAGGTTTGTGCTTGCTACCTGGTTTAGAAAACTAAACAATTTCTATTGTTTAAGAATACACAGGTTGCTCTCAAAACAATGAGAAAAAGCAATGAAATAATTTCTGACTTCTAAGGCAGAAAGAGAAAGTATTTACAAAGGAACAGTTAGCTTCTAAGGTACTAATAATTCCATTTTTTAACTGAGAGGTGGTGAACAGGAGTGGCAGTGGTAGGTTGTTTCTCATTGTACTTTCAGTTTGTGTGTGTATATATATATATATATATATATATACACACACACACACACACACACATTCCTCTGTGTATGATACTTTTTTCATAGTAAGTTTTTAATGCCTCCATTTCCATTAATTGTGAAACCAAGTTGCATTAACCAAAAGGCTCATGGCTAGCACATTATATGTCCTATAACTATTTTCATTAAGTAGTTAATGCAATATTTGAAACACTTAAATCTTTACAAGTAGGGTAAAAGTAAACATGAAGCAATTCATACCACCATATGCCATCCTGAGATATAAGCTAAGAAAATCAAAACAATAAAATTCTCCCAGAAGATATAAAATATTGAAATAAGTTCTAATTCGGACTCAATAAGTTGAAACAATATAATCACAACATTTTCTAAGTTAACTTTTACAGTTTGAAAAAAGAATATATTCAACCAAAACAAACAAATTATAATGGCATAAATTTCACATCAGAAAAATGTTTGATGGGCTTAAATGAAAAATTACAATAAATACCAATGTTCGCCTGTAAATATTTAACATAACTATAAATAGCCTTTAGTGCAACTAAAAACAAAAACCTCTGACTCAAACTTATTTTACAACTTAAACATTATACTAACTCATATGACTTTCAATGATTTAATTAGCCTTTGTGACATTCTGAAATACAAAATCTCACACACAAAAAAGCTAAAAGTTACGATATTACTCTAAAAGGAGTTAACAATAGTGCAATTGTTTAAGTTATTTATTTTTAAATATTAGGCTTTTTATTGCATCGTAACCCCAATTTTCTATTTTGTGTTCTAAACTTTTAAGAGTTATTCATCAAATTGAATAAAGTAAATGGGTTTAGGTCTCAGTACAATCCCTTATTGTTTTTTGACATTGGTTTTGACCTATTTAGGTTAAAAGAAAGAGATTTTGGTAAGGGAGCTTCTAATAACTGTAACACAATAATTAATTAGCAGTATCAAGGTTCATCTTTCAAATCTCCATCTTACATTTCTTTCAAAAACAAAACTGCAAACAATGTACAAGTTAACAGACGCTCTGCCTTTAAAATAATCCTATCCAACAACATATTAAAGTGATATTTTTGAAAATATATTAAAAATGTAATATTAATTTGATGATAGCTCAAATAAGAAGGAAAAAAGCAAACGACAAATTTGCATATTGAAAGGACGTCTATAAAAGAAGTGATTTTAGTAAATGTGATTTTATTTACACAAAAAATATATAATTTCTTCTCAAATTATCCCTTTAGTGCTGTATTCAGTGCAGCAAGAGTATATTCCTCAACTTTATAGTCATAAGGAAAGACTTTAATGAAACAATATGAAAGTTTCTAATCATTACTAAAAGATTCTGGTGGCAAATATAACACTGTAGCCTTTCTTTAATCAAAAGCACATGGCAGTGGCACACTCCAAGCTCACCATGATTAACAGCTGCGGTGTTCCCAGACTAGACAATGCAGGTCCTGCCTCAGTACTCACTGTAACTGACCACCACGACTGTTCTTGCTTAAAAGACTGAATAAATACATCCAGACTTGACATACTAATTTTGCCACATCGTCTAAAGCCCTCAACTAGAGAAAGAATGAGCTTTCAAAACCAAGGTGCATTGTCTAAGTTTTTAAGTTACTGTGCATCCCAGTGCACCACACTGGCCAAACAATAATTTAATTTTGGAAAAAAGATAGGGATAGATTGTATCGTTTTATTTGCAATATCAACACAGAAAACCAATGCAAAGAAGAATTTTTAACCCATTTATACTGATACATGACCACTGTGTAAAAAAAAAAAAAGTATAATGTCTTAGCTCTAGGAAATTACTTTTCACTATATTTATTTTACAGTGCTGGGGATTAAACCCAGGGCTTTATGCATACAAGACAATAGCTCTGACTGACCTACATCCTCTGCCCTCACTGTATTTTAAAATTATAGTAGAAGCCAGTTTTCAGTGTGTATCCTGTTCTTAAAGATAATATGCAATAAAACTGGAACAAGACAAGGATGCCCTCTTTCACTATTTCTATCAACATCATCCTTGAAAACTCTAACCAGAGGAATCAGACAGGAAAAAGAAATTAAAGGAACATGAATAGGAAAAGAAGAATGCAAACCATCACTATTTGCCAATGACATGATTCAATATTTATAAGAACCAAAAAATTTCACCAGAAAATTTCTAAAACTCATAAATGAATTTAGCAAAGTAATAGGTTATAAAATCAACACCCAAAAATCAAACATGTTTCATCATCAATGATGAATCTACTAAAAGAGGAATTAGCAAAACTACCCCATTCACAATAGCTTAAGAAAAAAAAAACAAAACTTGAGACTCAATCTAACAAAAGAGGTGAAAGACTTCTATAATGAAAACTACAGACACTAAAGAAAGAAACTGAAAAAGACTTTAGAAGATGGAAAGACCTCCCATGCTTCTGGATAGGCAGAATTAATATTGTCAAAATGGCCATATGGCAATATGCATTATACAGATTTAATGCAATTCCTATTAAAATCCCAATGACATTCTTCATAGAACAAGAAAAAGCAATCATTAAATTCATTTGAAAAAATAAAAGACACAGACTAGCCAAAGAAATCCTTAGCAAGAAGAGTGAAGCAAGAAGGACCACAATAATAGGCCTTAAACTATACTACAGAGCAATAGTAACAAAAGCAGCATGGTATTGGCACCAAAACAGACACGTAGACCACTGGTACACAATAGAAGACACAGAAACAAACCCACATAAATACAGTTATCTTATACTAGGCAAAAGTGCCAAAAACATTCATTGGAGAATAGAGAGCCTATTCAATAAATGTGCTGGGAAACTTGGAAATCCATATGAAACAAAATGAAATCGAGGGCTGTGATTGTGGTTCAGTGGTAGAGTACTCACCTAGCACATGTGAGGCCCTGGATTCAATCCTCAGCATCACATAAAAAT